CCTTATCAGTAGTTAAGCCCTCGCAGCCGCCTTCACTTAAAGCAGCATTTTCGAAGGGAAGAAAAAAAACCTGCTATATAAACGCATCATGTATTTTTGCATCACATCAGGAGGGGACCCTTTTTAAGTATGTGTGTTTTATGCATGTATGTATGTACGTATGTATGTATGTTTGTATGTATGTATGTATGCATGTTTGTATGTACGTATGTTTGTATGCATGTATGTATGTATGTATGCATGTTTGTATGTATGTATGTTTGTATGTATGTATGTTTGTATGTATGTATGTTTGTATGTATGTATGTATGTATGTTTGTATGTTTGTATGTATGTATGTTTGTATGCACGTATGTTTGCATGTATGTTTGTATGTACGTATGTTTGTATGTGTATATGTTTGCGTTTGTGAATACATTTATAAATATGTATTTTTGTGCAAATACAAATTATTATTACACAATCAAGCCTACTCTGGGTCGTTCACTGGATAACTGATGTTCAAAAAAAAAAAAGTATTTAAGCATTGAGTGATTTCAGGAAGTTGAAATAAAGCAGCGAGAGGCTCAGTGATCCCTGGAAGTACGCGATTCCTCTTTTTATCGTTGGACTAAAAACAGCAAATTGGGTTCGTTTTTTTTTTTTTAATATTTTATGCTCAAAAATTAAGATTACTCAAGCAATCGGTGTAAAGATTCAATGTTAGGCTGATGCTATTACGATGTTTTCGGTCACCAAGCAAGAAACAAATATGCCCTGTGCGTTTCTAGTTAGTCTGTATCGCTTGTTTGATGTATATAGGCCACTTTAGCCGTCGTTTATTTTTTTTTGAGATACCACATGCTGGCAACTAGTAGTCCATTAGGCTCTAATTATTTCGGAATCTAGCTTGCTTTCTTAGCTGCTCTTCGTCGTGGAGATCCATTAGTTGACTAATGATGAACTTGTTAAAACAACTTGTAAGTTTATGAAAGAATTCCAGGCAAATCGGTGGTAATTTTTCTGTTATTCTTTATAGTTCCTTGGTATATTATTTTTAGTTAAACTGATGATGAAAACCTTTAGATCTTGAGGCGACCAAGCCAAAAATTGAATTTCGGTGCGTCGTGAGAGAAAACGAAGGCTTAAATGCCAGTGCTTCTACAGCACGCCTAGCGAAGAGAATCCACGTATTGCACCGGTTAAAGGTACTTTTTTATTCGAGGAAAATAATTTACAATATTAAAAAAGTAGTATTTTTGTTTTTGCGCAGTAGTCACCTTTACGCTTACCTTGTGCTAAGCGCACTATGCGTAAATCATCGTAAATTTTGCATAAAGTAAATGAACAATTTCCGTGTAACGGTCGTTTTTTCAAAATGACCAAGCTGTTGAGTGAGCACTTTACCTGCCAAAACCATAAGAACTTTTGTATATAAGTGTTGCGAGCTATGTTGCTTCTGTAATGTCCACAGCGATGCTCTCATGCTAGAGGTCGAGAATTCAATTCCGCAATGGGGAAGAATTCAACCCGTTTTCTCTGTTGATTTTTGTTTATTTCCTCAAAAACTTTTCAGTCATCGGTTCTTCTCATGTGGCGAAGATTTTTAACGTCTGAAACTGATGGAACACTTATTTGTTTTCAGGAAATTAGCTCCCCGATGTGCAGTTGCGCTTTTTGATTGTCTGCGCGACGTTGATAAAAATTTCGAAGAAATGCACGAAGATTTCATGGAAACCAGAGATGGTGGCGGTAAAGAATGGCGCCAAAATGTTGATAGCCTTTCGGACTCGGAATATCTTTTGGATGGCCCCGATTCAGCGCAGTGCAGCCTCCGAAAATTACAGCCCCAAGATAAGGATGTTGTAAAAGCAATTTGCTTGGAATCATTCCCGGTCCAGTACCCGGATTATTGGTTCGAGGAAGTGCTCGCCCGAAACGCCGGATTAATCGTAGTCGGCGGAGTTAGCGGTGAATTGTTCTGCTACGGGATCACCTACGAGGGCAAACTTGTCGCTGTTATTGTTGCTGAACTCAAAATTTTATCGCAATGTTGCAATGAGGTTTGCATTTTTTTTTTCTTGAATTTGTATAAGAGTACTCGCAGTGATAAACTGATAATAGAGGAACCACTTCGGAAGACCCCCAAATCGGACCGTTGCATTTCAACCCCGTTGGATTATTGGTAGATACAGGGAGGAGGGGGGAAGAGTGGGGCTTCCGACATAATGATGAACGGGGTGAAGGGAAAATCGCTTAAACCCAGCCAAAATTAGTCGTACCGAGCGCGGCTGTAAGTAGGCCGAAGCATACCTTGTGAAGTAGTGGACCACGCTTACCGAAGGAAGCTAAGTTTGGCCTAGAATTGGCAGTGTTAGAAATGAGGCATTGTGATGCTCAATGCATACCAAGGATATTCCGAGAAATGGAAAAAGCTTTGTCAAATGTTTCTTTCGGGAGCTGGTACTCCCCTTGAGGAGACGAAACGAACGTCAGAATCGCTAGCAGATTGAGAAGCAGCACTACCACCAAAAAGATGCAGCATTATTTGGAGCAACTGAAAAAATTGTCCGTATGATGTGAAATATTT